ACCTTTAGAGAAATGTTTCTGCTCGAACAATGCCACGAAAACTTCAACATATCGTAACATTAATACGCAAACCCAAGACCGATCCTAAACTAACCCTAAACTATAGACCTATTTCTCTCTTAAACACTGATTACAAAATCCTAACCAAAGCTCTAGTCTCCAAAATTGAACCACACTTGCATAAAATTATACATGTAGATCAACAATGCAACATCACAGGTAGAAACATACAAAATCACAATCACTTAATTAGAGACATCATCCACTACACACACGAGAAAAACACACAATCATGCTAACTCAGTTTAGACCAAGAAAAAGCCTTCGACCTAGTAGCTCACAAATACCTTCACAAAATCTTAGAAGCAAACATTTAAGGACAATACTTTACGACATGGATAAAAATAATCTATTTTAATGTACATAGTCACCTACCGATAAACCATAATATTTCCCAACCCTTTAGAATAAATAAATCAGTCAGACTAGGTTGCCCCCTATCTCCTATCCTTTATTACAAGCTTTTATTTAACTCACTTCCTCGTCAGTCTGTCGTCAGTCTAGACGGAAACGCAGGAGTGAAAATTCGGACAGTTCTACTTGACCGACACGATTCACAGTTGGCACGTGGGTCAAGACATGAAGACAATGAAATCTGAAACTAAATTTGACTTAATTGGATGCCTAATTGATTTTTTATGAATTAATTAAAATTTGGACCGAATTATTAGGCATGTCTAGCCAACCACACCACACGCGTCATCAATAGCTGCGCCATCACGACCACGTAATGGCTGCGTTCAAAAACCATTGCGCGCCTACTGAACGTGATATTCAGTAGGCGCGCAATGGTTTTTAGTCATGTAACTCTATTGTAGATAAAACATGTAAAGTACTGAAAAAAAAATTCATAAAAAACGTTTTAATAACAAGCTTTTATGTAATGATGCACTAAAAAGTAGAAAATAAATTATAGACTACTATTTAAATAACTATAAAGAAAAGCGTGGGTGTCTTCCTTAACATTAGTAAAGGTATCCAATAGATACTAAAGTGACCCACGCTTTTCTTTATAGTTATTTAAATAGTAGTCTATAATTTATTTTCTACTTTTTAGTGCATCATTACATAAAAGCTTGTTATTAAAACGTTTTTTATGAATTTTTTTTTATACTTACACTCGAACCACTGTTAAAATGCATTACACGCTAGTACAAAACAAACTCCATGGAGGAATAAACCTGCACTATATACAGACCAAAATCAATCTATTCAGACTAACACAAATTAGCAGAATAATTAGTCAACCAAACTTTCACCCTTTAGCTCACTACTATATAGGCATTCAGCTCAACAAACTTATAAAAATCAATAATACAACTCCACATTACATAGGAGGAAAACACAGTCCTTTTTACACAGAATGCTTACAAATATTAAAAAACAACGAAAAACTTGTTCACGAAAAATCACAAAACATCTACATAAAGTTAGTGCAAAACTCTCAACCCCATTATACAACAGAATTCGATGGTGTAGGAAATACGCTCTAACAGACACAACAGACACCTTCAGGAACCTAAACCTCAAAACCATCACACCCAAACCCAGGGAAATAACATACAGACCCATTTACAATTCAGCACCCCTAGCAAAACAACAGAAACCCTATTTCCCACTATGCAGACAAAACACAGCAGAAACCGAAACACACATCTATTTAGAATGCCCTACCATATAAAACATAAAAAAGACGCTAGAAACCAAAATAACAAAAAACGAGACCTTCAACATCGATATAGTTATAACTCTAAACAAAATTCAAGTCAATAGACCGTCCCTGAGTCCACCCAACTCTGATGGGTACCCAACTCAAGTTAGGGAAAGTAAAGGCGGCTGGGCATAGTGCTGACCACACTATCTCTTCATATGCCGAGGTCACAGAATCAAGTGAACTCTACTTCACTTGCCCCATAGACCGTCAGGTTTGAAAGGGAAACCTTACTTTTTTACTAAACAAAATCCCTAAACAAAGAGACAGGACGGACCTAGAGCAAAAAGCAAGGACGGTAGCTATCTATAGACAGACTAATTGGAACAGTAGAATAAAATCAAAACACGACAATGTACAGTTCACGGGACACATACTAGACTTGATTTATCGTAGACGACTCGACAATGACAGCACTCAAACACATAATACATAATTAGCAACACCCCAACGTAAAGAACATATTACACTGCATTGGTCACCTGGCCCGCCTAATCTAACCGACACCCCCCTTCCCCTTTCATCACACCCTCCCAGCCCCCCGCCCCCCCCCCCCGCCCCTAAACCTGGTGATCCCAATATCATATTGCCCCCATACTGCATCCCCTTCGTCCCCATGACCCCCACCCCTGTGTTGAAATACTATGTTAAATACTGAAGATGATGTATTATCCAAATAGATTTCTAACAACATTAATTTGACTCCAACCCCCACAACCCCCACCTTGTTTCGCATCATTTATCATTTGTCATTGAGTTTCCTATTGTTGCTTATTTGTGTATTGTTTTATTTATACAGCTTACAAACAAACACATCATTTGTCTCTATTTTACTACTATCATATATGTAATGTACTTGATCCACAACGAACAAAATGACCCCAATGACCCCTACTCCTTTTGTATTCATTTTATTATCCCCAAATTAATACTTACAGTTGTTTTGTTAACTTTACTCTTTTGAGTACTCTATGAGAACACTGTTAACCAATTTTTTACCTTTAAAACTCCGCTGTATCCCCACACCCCGTGATAGCTACACGCCAACCCACCCCCAACCTGTCGGTACTAAACATCCAAACAAACATAAACACCGACTTGAACATACCAAACTTTAACTCTCCCGCTAAATCGCTCACACAGCAATCTATTCGCCACCCCCCCTCCCCCCCCACACACACACTATAAATAGTTACACATCAGCAGTTAGATAACACAGCACAGAATTTGACGCTTGGCTTGCCTTAAACACACACAGACACTCTCTCCATGGCTCGTCAGATACTTTACCGCCACCCCCTGTGCCCACATCACCCTCAGAAATGATAACCCCACATCCCTTTTAACTGTTCCAACGACCCCACCACCCACCAAAACATCAGTTTCGAATATTTATTAATTAATTTATTTATCTATTTTTGTAATTCACTATTATACAAATGTAAACGAAATCTGTGTAAAACAACACTGTAAAAAATTAACCATTTTTTCTTGTAAATTACTGTTTTTTTTTTTACAGTAATTTACAATATTTTAAAAAAACGGTAGCATCTCGTGAATATGACTAGTCGAATCCCGTTTACCGTGACTAAAATTAGATAAGCCAGAAACGCCTCGCGTGATTTCAATTATTAACAACAAATAAATATTTTATCTTTAATTTTAAAATATCTGCAAATTATTTTACTGAACATCAAATTAAACAGTATTATTGAAGAGTTAAGAATATTTTATTTACATGAAAACAAAATTAAAAACCCCAAAAGTAAGTAAAAATTCTACGATATATATATATATATATATATATATATATATATATATATATATATATATATATATATATATATATATATATATATATATATATATATATGTATATATATATATATGTATATATATATATATATATACATATATATATATATATATATATATATATATATATATATATATATATATATATATATATATATATATATGTATTTGGGGCCCAAAAATTATTTTTGCAGGGTGGCCCTTTTTTATAGTTCCGCCACTCGTCATTAGCGATCGCTGGTATGCAGAGTTTCTTCCAGGCATTTCTCCCCCCCCCCCGAAGAAAGTCTACCGCCCCCCCCCCCCCCCCCCCCCGAAAATTTCCAGTGCCCCCCCCCCCCCGGAGAAAAAGGTCTTGAAGAAACACTGCTGGTACGGACTATGGTATTTTAAGAGTCGGCTTTATATAAATCAATATGTGGGTAGGAGGTGATGAAAGTTTGTATGTGTACTTAAGTTTGTGCACGTGTTAGATATTTTGTAAAAAAATTTGAAGCTTGTGATGCATAGATCAAATATTTAGTTTTTATAGTGAAAACCAACAACTAAGTAGTTCATTTGAGGTACCTAAAAACCTTAATCAGCTACTGTCTCTGCCGCCCCCCCCCCTTCCAAGAGCGCTCCGTTATACTCTTAACACCTGGTCTGTTGCTTTGGCGTTTTTTACCTTATCATTACGGAGGTGATCAACGTACACTCAATCAAAGTCTTTAAAGAACAAACCCTGGTGCGTCTGTCAAACCCGTGCCCCAACAACTAAGATCTAATAAAATATCTAAATAGCTGTGCGATGGCCTCAGATTACTCAATTAACCTTATTTTTCTCGTCTATCTAGTAAGTAGTATAGAGATATACCCATCTAGTCTGTAGGTAAAGTATAACATCTTTTAAAAAATATTTTAATAGCCTATTTAAATCTATTATTTCAGTTTTTATCATGTTAATCCCATCAGGACACTCAAGGGCCTGAACAACAAACATTTACATCAGAGGCGTAGCGACCCTTCCCGGCGCCCGGGGACAAACTTTCAATTTGGCGCCCCCCTCGGGAGCAAATTTTCAATCTGCACCCCCCTCAAACTTTCCATTTGCACCCCCCCCCCCCTCAAACTTTCGATTTGCAACCCCCCCCCCTCAAACTATTTATAATGCAAAAGTGCAGCTAAAATGACATTTTAATTAGTTTTTACAAACCATTTTGGCGCCCCCTAAGGTCGGCGCCCGGGGACATATGTACCCCCTGCCCCCCATCGCTACGCCTCTGATTTACATGACAAGAAAAATCGGGTCCCTGTAGCGCTGTTTAGTAAATATGCGCATGCGCATCTTCTTCCGGCTAGAATCGGCTCTACAAAACAAGGTCACTCTCCCCTCACCTCACACACATTGAGGGTTGTACAAGGAAAATAATTTTGTGTGCACATTTCAGCTTGATAGTTCAATCCTTCGATTATACCGTCACTTCGACGGGACTTTTTTCTTTTTGCTTCCCTTTGGTAGATCGATATATTGCTTTCTAATGATCGATATTGATTTCTAAGGCTATGATCAGCTGTCAGAATACACGTAGCAGCCTGGTTACCAATGGGTAAACACAGGGTGTGTCAATCAACACACTTGGTGTGTTGATAAACGCAGTTAGTGTGCAAGAATGAAGTTCATACACTCTTCGTTTGAAGTTAAATAACAAGGAATATGTTCACTGGATTATCTTTCATTATATTAAGTATTAAGCACACGAGGCGAGTCCTACCTTTTAATGTGACTATTATTCTAACATAATATTTATCCTTTAACTAAATCGTTTTAAAGTCTACTCCACTAAAAATATGCACGTTGAAGTTGAATATGTTATTGTGATAAGATTTTATGTCAAATTAATCATCAAACGAAAACAAGGTTGTTCATCGTTCGAAAATTAACTTGATTATTTTCTAAATACCTGTATTAAGTGAAAAAGCACTCAGGAACAGTAACCTTAAAATATTTTGTAAGTAACACTGTCACTCATCTGTTCATCAAATATAACTTTGTCATATAAATAAACGAAACAGACGATTAAAATAGCGATGATCTGGCATCGATTGTCTTAAGTATTGGAGCAATAATTAACTAGTGTTGCACGTGTATAATCTTAGAGAGCTATGGACCGCCAGGATGTAGAAGACAAGATGTCAAGAGGAAACAGAGAAGAGCTAAAGAAACCTGGAGCGTCACTTACACCCACTGAAGGCAAACAACATCGCCATGAGAACGAAACTACAAAAGATAAAATAATTCAACCAATGTAATTCTTTTTTTTTTACCGTTTGTTATTTGCTATATTTTTTCATTCATATTTTCAACGTTTTTAAAATCTATTCAATATAAACACGGTGTACAATCATATATATTTTCTAACGACGACTTAACAACTATTTAAACTTGCTATTTCTGGGGGATGTCGGTGCAGAGGCGTGACGATCCAGTTTGTCTGTGTGACTCTTTGTGTGTCCGTCTGTTGTACAGTCATCCGATAGCCTAAACTTTGGAGGATGTTGAGTACACTCCAGGAAAGGTTTCTGCCTTGAATAAAGCAGGATTGAGCTTCCCTATAAATTGTTGTACTATATTCGAATATACTAATATAATAGTAAAGAGAATAACATTTTTGTGTAATCGGGCAATAGAAATATAAAAATTTGTGACGAAACTGCGAAACAAAAAAAAAAAACAAAAAAAAAAACTAAACAAACAGCGCATAGAGGTGATCATTTCTTAAAATATGCTTCATTAGGATACGATAAACAAATTATCAACTTCTGTAGGTTTTTGTGAAATAGGAAATAAAGCGAAGTGCTTCATTATTAAGCACTAATATACCGATTATTTAACATACTTTAATTAAATTACATAGAATCGCATAAAAATAAACTGGGAGTGATCTCCCCTAAACTTTCTCGCATATTCTTATATAACACCACGGGGGATGGCAACTCGGGATCAGGGGCGGATTAAACTTGGGCGGGGCCCCAGGCTTAAAATTGGGCTTATTGGGGGCCCTTGATATATATATATATATATATATATATATATATATATATATATACTAATCAACATACTTATTTTAAAAATCATGAATTATTTTAACTTATAGGAACATTCGACACCGATATTTACAAAACTGCTAATTTAAAAAGCCGTCAATTATGTTCAATGAGCGATTAATTGGATACAAACATGTACCAAGTATGACTAATTTTTAGCAAGATTATATGTTGCTCCCCCCCCCTCCCATCCATCCACTACTACGGCGCACACACACTAACAAAACACATAGAGACGAGATCCATCCTCTAAGTCGGCAGTACTAAATATATGACTGTTTACTGTAGGCCTGTAGAAGTTTCCGACTGTCCCGCGATCTAGCCGGGCACCAGACGGTAGGACGATGTCTCGCGTCTGGTGGGTGGGGGAAGTAAAGCCTGGTCAGAGCTTACGGGTGAATAAGCGACCAACATATAGTGTTTCAAACCAACATCTTCGTGAGACTGATTCAGTCCACTATTTGCCAGTTAGTTTACCTCCCTTGCTAACGGGAGTCAAACTCCTGAGCCGGTAAATTCGTGTCACGATAGTTATTGAACTGTCATTCAAGAATTTATATTGGGCACGAGAAAGCTGGAAATGCAGACTAACATTAAATAAATATAAATATCTATGAGAATATTATAATATCGTTATAGAGCAGACGATAAAGGCTGTTGGCACGTGTTTGCTTGCAGACGCGAAGAGAAAAAAGAGAATTTCAAACCACTCTATGTAGGAAGTTATAAATAACATACAGAGGTTAAACTAGTAAAGTTTTCCTTTCAAACCTGACGGTCTATGGGGTAAGTGAAGTAGAGTTCACTTGTTTTTGTGACCTCGGCACATGAAGAGATAGTGTGGTCAGCACTATGCCCAGCCGCCTTTACTTTCCCTAACGTGAGTTAGTTACGCATCAGAGTTGGGTGGACTCAGGGACGGTCTACGAGGTTAACTAGGCCCAACTAAAAGAGTAAGCACGGTGTAAGCATAAAAAAAATACACCTCCATCCTCTTAGGTGTCATCCATTTATGAGGCCCACAAAAAGTTGGATTTCCACAGGCGTCAATTTAAAGAACGTCATCACTGGCCTGTACACCAGATATTAACGTTCACTAAAAGTAAAGGCCTATAAATGTTTTTAAAAGTTTAAATCATAGAGTGTTCACACCAGATGCATGTCATTTATGTGTCAGAATTCGACAGCTGATTTTGTTTTTAACTCTAAAATTAACCCAATTTATTGTTATAAGCAAACGCTGTCCGGGATGGTATTTATACTAAAGTGTGTGCTCGAGTTTGATATTTTGATAAAAAATTGAGATAAACTTGTGATTCAAATATTAAAACATTGGCTTTTATAGTAAAAAAAAAATTCACTTTAAAGGGAAATTTACTATGAATGAAAAAGGAAATTTGGGGGCCCCTAAAAATTGGGGGCCCCTGGCTGCAGCCCCCTCAGCACCCCCTTAATCCGTCACTGCTCGGGATATAGACATGATTTTTAATCCATTTTTTAATTACTTAAACTTTTAAAAACAGAATAGAATCTCGTAGAAAAAAATATTGCGCGCCAAGTGAACGCCAAATAATCTGTGTATAATAATGCGGTTTTATTATTAGTACTTTATAAATTAACTTGCGGTTTTATTTTTGAGAAATCTGAAATCGCATAAATTATTACTTCTGGTCAACCAAAATTACTCAAAATGTGACAGTAGGGAGAGAATTAAATAATGTACTTATTTTTGAAATTTCGTTCATCTATCTGTAATATTAGCCAAGTGATAGGCTTTTGAAACACCAAAATTAGAATAAGTTCCACTTCCGGTTGCCGGAAATCGCTGAAAAGTTGATACAGAACTATAAATTTGATATAATACTTGTATATGAAATTTCATCTACCTAGTTGTAACTGTACTCAACGCATAGAACGCTGAAATTTTGATAAATATGTATTTATTATTTTTGCCCGTTTAAAATAAGTCCCCTATACTCCGTATATGATAAAGGACTGAGATGTAAAACGATGAAACTGTAAAAATTTTCATGTGAATTTTTTTTGCACGATTACAATACTTCCTCTATACTCTGTATACGAGAAAGTTATAAAGAGGGAATTACTTAAGCTTTCACAAATATTCTTATACGAGATAAATGGCCCGTTGAGGAAGGATACAACGGGCGCTAGGTTGACAGTGCTGTCTCTTTTCTCTAAACTAAAACCAAAACCAAAATCACCACCTAAATTAAATTTAACCGGAAACGAAAAATTTCATTGAAAACGGATTTTAATCCAGAATCGGTGCTTTAATCGGATTTAAGCTTGATCTACACGTAGTTACTGCACATTGATACTAAATATAGTCGAAGACATACCCCTAAACCTTGCACCTAATCTCAATCATGACAAAGACGCATTTAGAGTTTCTTTTAGGCGACTCTAGAGCCTACTTCTATAATTTAGACTCGTTACCTCGTTTCATACTTTTAGCCGATAAACCTCACTCTCACAGACACTGTTTCTTTCAGATATTTTTCCGGAGGTGGGGCACTTGAATTTTTGCAGGGGCGAATAAAATGATCCGGTGCGGGGGAGCCCGACACTTGTAAAAGTATAATATATTTTCTTTATAAACTATATTTCGAGGTTGTTTTTTTTTGGGGGGGGGGGATTAGACGTTCAACCGGGGTTGGGGCACACGGGCATCCAATGGCTTGAATGAACAGGTATCTTTCACCTAACCAACCCCCCTCCGGCATAACCACGCCCCAACCCCACCCCTATACGGTCTCCAAGCGTCCTTTTCACCCGTCTCTTCTTTTGGATACCGTGGCTTGTAGACAAGTCGTGTTTTCACTGTCGAGCTAAGTCAAAAATTGTGTTGCTGTTTGTCTTTATTTGTCTAATCTGTAACCACACTTTTGTGTGCTGACGAAGACCTTGGGTTGAAACGTCCATAGTACTTGTAACTGTCTTTAACTTGTGAGGTAACTAACACTAACTTTTTATTACTAATTGAATTAACCTCACTGCAGCCATCATTTGTATTTATCTTAAAATGTGAAAGATTAGTTTGCCTTTCGGACGTGGCGGAAGACTGGGCTGGTGAAGTAGAGTTCACCCTTTTCTGTAAACTTAGAATATGAAGGGATAATTTGGTCAGACCCATGATCAGCCGAAATCGGTGGCTTTAAAAGACAAAAACTTGTTGGCTAAACTGTGAATTCTTTTCAGATATGAATGATAAAGTTGCCTTTCGGACTTGGCGGGATACGGACCACGCAAAGTAGAGTTCACCTGTTTCTGTGACCTCAGCATATGAAAGAATAGTGTGATAGAACCCATGCTCACCCGAAATCCGTGACAGTGAAGTGGGGGGAGAAGAAAGAAAAAAAAATCGTCTAACGAGAGTTACGTCATTTGCGAAAGACCATCGAAACCCATAGTTATCCAATGATAACGGGTAACCTAGTACTTATATAAAAGCTTGTCTTTAAAAACTATTTGTGCATTTTTATAGCATTTTAATACAATAGAGTCACATGACTAAATCTACTGCGCACCAAATGATAAGAAAATGAATGCATAATAGCGCGGTATACAGTAGGCTACTTTATATAAGAAATTTTAATTAATTCACGAAAAATTAATTAGGTATCCAATCAAGTCAATGTTGGTGCAATGTCATACAGTCTTGACCCACGTGCCAAGTTTGAAACGAATCGGTCAGTTAGAACTGATCGAAGTTCGTTCGGCAGTTTAATTTTTGGCGACAGATAGTAGGAAGGTAAAAAAAAAACCGACGAAACCCGTCAAATTCTAATTAAAATAGTGTGTGCACGTTTAAAATACTCCCATAATACTCTGTATTCAAGAAACTAAACATTAAAATATTAGAGGGGCGTCGGTTGGCGCTCCGAGTATCATTGTGGCTTTCTTAGATTCTTAGCATTACGGCGCGTACTGTAGTTTCAAAGAGCGCCCTACACTTTGGATTCGGTGGGCTACTTCTTCCTTGTACTATTTCTTCCTTGTACTATTTCTCACCACTCTCCCTTATCTGTACATTGACTTAGGAATTTTAAATACATTTTCTTATTTTTAAATTTGATACTGGTTTTAGAAAATGATAGTTCTTTTAGCAAATAAATATTTCAACTAGTACATGTTTAAATTCAATTAAACCATTGCAAATCCAATAAACGATTGCACCTGATTAATTTTTTTATGTATTTGTTAGAAAAGTTGGAGCTGCCACTGTGGTCAGGGCAGGAGATTTTATTGGACGTCTCGGTACGCTAATTGTGATGATAGTGACGACCATTAACACGGCCACCGTCTGCGTCACCAGTTTTATCGATGGCATCTACTGGATTGGCGGCGTTCACGCTTTTCTTCTGGTCTTTATCCACATCCCAGTCATAGCCGTCATGATATGGCTCATGGTCAAGGCACGGGTAAGTTAATAATTTGGCAGTTCATTAATATCCCAGTCATAGAGGTCATGATATGCAATGAAATGCATGATGTGGTATTACACATTATTTGATGTTCAGTTATTTCCTTTTTGCAAGCTTTTATTTAACTCACAGCCTCTGTCGTCAGTCTAGATCGAAACGCCCGAGCGAAAATTTGGGCACAGATTCGGTTCATAGCTAGTACGTCGGTCGAGACATGAAGACAATGCAACATGACATTAAATTTGACGTAATGGGTTGCTTAATTAATTTTTATGAAATAATTTAAATTTTTACCAAATTAGTAGGCAGTCAACTGTTCCGCACTATTATACACTCGTCATCACGTTCATTAGGTGTGCAATGGTTTTTAGTCTTGTAACTCTATTTTAAATTTAAATTTTTTTTTTGTTTAAAGTACTGTACAAAAATTCATAAAAAACGTTTTATAAGCTTTTATGTAAAAATGCACTAAAAATTATAAAAATTAGAAAAATACAGAAAAGCGTATGTCGCTTACTAAATATTAGTAAAAGTATCCAATAGTTATATAAATAGTAGTGTGTTAGTATAAATTTTAAGAATTTTATTTATTTTCTAATTTTTAGTGCATTATTACATAAAAGCTTGTTATTAAAACGTTTTTGATGAATTTTTAC